GAACTCTTTTGGATATATTGAGTTTGAAATGCCTATAAAACATCTAGTTTGAGATTTCCAATTCATGATATATGCCTGGAGGTCAATAGAAAGACGGGTTAAATACATCGATAGAAATGATTATTGAACTTGTGAGAGCTGATGAGCTCACCACATGAGAGGAAAAAGAGGGTCCAGAATAAACATTGGGGTAAGTTAGTTTGTTGGGTGATGAGCCAGCAAAGGAGACCAAGGAACAGTGAGATAGGTAGGAAAATAATAAAAACTAGAGAGCAGTGTTACAAAATTTCAAAGAGAAGAGATCATTAGGAGGAAAGGGTAGTAATCTCTGATGCTGCAAAGAGGTTAAAAAGAATATAAATGCATAAAAGACATTGTTGTAGTATTTTAGAGATAGTGGTTTCAGTTCAGGTATGAATTCAGATACCAGATTATAGAGTCTGAATAAGAGAGTGAAAGAATAGGAAATAGAGTTACTGAAGGTAGCTTTTTTTTTCCTGAGTGGAGAAAAGAGTGGGAGAATTTTATTATGAACAGGAAAATGTCATACATAAGGGCATGGAGAGAGGATAAGGCAGGGTGAGAGTAGCAAATGAAAAGTAATTCAATTTGATTGAACCTAGTATATGTGAAGGGTATGTAAGGACTGGGCAGGTCAGCTAAACCCAAAGCATAGAGGTTTGAATGGCAGTATCAGATGATTTTTCTTTATTCAAATGAACGAATAAAGCATTTATTAAGGGCTTACTATGTACAAATCACTGTGATAAGTGAGGGGTATATACATGAAGTAATATAGTCCCTGCTTTCAAAGAGGTCACATTCTAATGTGGGAGATAACACATAGAAGGTTTCAGCTATAAGGCTGATAGAGAAGTTACATGGTCCTTAGGGTGAAATGGCAAAGCAGATAGTAATACCTCTTTCTATTTCCACTGATAAAATAATATCAGTTTCTGATATTTAACCATCTGGCAATGCTTAGGACTTTGGTGGCAAGTTTATTTTCTGGGTCCTCACTAGCTTTAGCCATAGCCTCTACTGGAGCAGTTGCCAGGATGAATCTCTGCAGTGGTTTCTTCTCAGGATGATGACTGAGAACATTGGGCTGGAGTCATTGTTCCCAAGACTCTTGGGCTGCCCTCATTAGGATCTGAGGAAGATGGTGGTCAAGGCGAAGGTGGTTGTTTGACTTACTTTGGACATACCATTTCTTGTCTATCCTTCAGGGTCTTTTGCTGCTTCAATTGGGCCATCTTGCCTGCAGGGTGGGTAGCAGTTGTTTGGAAGTTGGTGGGGAATGGCTGACACTTTATCATAGGATCTACTTCCTTAGATGATGGCCAGAATGGAAGCAGGACTAGTGATCTGAAGGTCCTGACATTCCCAGATAACATGCAGCCTCATTCTTTGACCTGCAGGCTGAAATCCAGCCTGGGAAGCCTGCTATAAATTTACATGGAGGTAAGAGACTTTGCTTCTATCTATCTCCTGTCACAGATGTAATAGATGAAAAGTTTTCTCCCCAATGCTCTTATCTGCCTGTTCATGGCAGGTGGTCAGCAATATTCCATAGGTAATAGGGAGCCACTGAAGATTTTTGAGTACTAGAGGGATATGAAGATAGTCATACACTTGGAAGATGGTGAACGGTTGTACTCAGGATCTTTGTAAGTTAAGTTCCTTGTTTCTGGGGAAAAAAAAAACTATTAAGGATAATAAAGAGAAGTGTAAAATACAACAAAATGATAAGTATTATGAAATGTTTCTTGGCCACCAATTAATCCTTAAACATAAGAGAAGAGTGAAATGAACATTGTGCTCTTAGCATGAATATATTAGATTTGATTGACTTTATCAAGCATTTATTAAGTACCCATTATAGGTCAAGGCACTGTCATTGGTGCTGGGATACAAATTAAAAACAAAACAATTGGAGCCAAGATGGCAGAGTAAAGGCAGGGACTTGCCTGAGCTCCCCTCTAAGCCCTTCCAAATACCTTTAAAAAAGTACTCTAAATGTTTTCTAGAGTAGCAGAACCCAAAAGAAAAGACGGAGTAGAACAAATTTCCAGCCCAAGACAACTTGGAAGATGGACAGGAAATGCCTGTTGCCTGCTGGGTCCCAGTAAACCCAGAGCAGGCCTTGGGGCCACCATATCACTGGCAGCAATGGCAGTTTCCAGACCTGCCAGCCCACAGATGCTAAAGACAACTTAGAAGGTCAACAGGAAAGGTTTGTCACACCTGGATGAGAACCCAGGCTGAGCCAGCACAGCCTCAGCCCCACGAAACAAGAAGCAGGCCTTGGGAGTCACTGAATCAGCAGTGGCTGTAGCAGCACCAGCAGCAAGCACCTGCAGCTGCAGCTGCTGCTGCTGCTTTCAGAGCTCTCAGCCCACAGACAGTAAGGGGGTCATATAACTGGTCAAAAGAAGAATGTATGGGTCTTTTTGCTATAACTGAGAAAGGACTATGTTGCTTTGTCCATAGTCAGATCCAGTTGCAGTCCTGGGGGGCAGTCCCAGGGTAAGGAGGAGCAAAAACAAAACAATTCTTGGTATCTCATAGTCTAATGGGGGTAGGGGGTAGCTTACTATGTCAATTCAAAAAATGTTACTTTTGTATATGTGGTATTCCAAAAGTCTTAGTATAGTTTTAAGATATCTATGTGTATGTGTATATACACATATATATTTATACATATATTCAGATAAAGAAATATAAAATACATATACAATAAATGTCTAAAGAATTTTTTTTGGTGGGGGCATTGATACCTGGGAGAATCAGCGAAAGTCTCATACAGGAAGTATTCCTTGATATCAACCCAAGAGGTAGCTAGGGGTTCAAAGAGGTAGACATGAGGAGAATAGAAATGGGTGATAATGTGTACAGATGTAAAGTTAAGAGATAGGATGTCACATACAAGGGATAGCAAATAAGCCAGTTGACTGGAGTACAGAATGCCTTGTGGAGAAGAAGGGAGAGCAATGTGTGATTAGCCTGGAAAGATAAGTTGGACCTAAATTATGATGAGCCTTAAATGATAGAGGAGGTTTTTATATTATCTAGAGGTAATAGGAGGCCACTGAAGTTTCTTAAGCAGGGAGTAACATGGTCATGCCTGTGGTTTAGGAATTTCAATTTGGCAGCTGTATGGACCAAGCAGAGAGGCTGAAAGCACAAGGAATAATAAGATGACTTCTGTAGGAGTCTAGGTAAGAGGTGATGAGCATCTGAACTCAGTAACAGCTGTTTCAGGTGGTAATAGTATAGTTGCATAGGAACAGGCTGGCCACCCATTCTGCCCAGCAGACCTGAGGATCTGCCATCTGATAAAAACCAATGTAGCTGCAGAGTTGTTGGGAGGATGGTTAGACTTAGCAGAGGCAAACTTACGCTGTACAGAGAAGATGATTGATGTGGTTCTGCCCACCTTGAAACAAATGTGGGTGTCGAGGATTATTACAGTTATGATGATGATAACTGCTCTCATTTATAGAATACATTAAGGTTTGTAAAGTACTTTTCTCACCAAACCTCTGGGAGATAGGTAGAACAAAGATTATTTTTTCCCATTTTGCAGATAAGGAAACTGAGGTCCTAAAGGGTTAAGTGATTTACTTGCTCATGGTCATATACAATAAGTATCAGAGTCAGAACTGGAACACACTCCTGCTGACTCCAGTTTTAGTGCTTTTTCTACACTAATTGAATATCAAAGCTATACCCTTTGTTGAAAGTGGACGGTATTATATGCAGTAGTTAGAGAGATTTAGCTTACTATGTCAATTCAAAAAGTGTTACTTTTGTTTACATGTTATTCCAAAAGTCTTAGTACAATTTTAAGATATATATATATATACATATGTGTATGTATGTATGTATATGCAGATATATTTATATACACATACATATATATACATGCATATGTACACATACATACACAATATAGTATACCTATACATATCTATAGATATATGTGAATATATCTAAATGTCTGTGTGTGTGTGTGTATTTGGATGATTTATATATATATGGGTATGTATGTGTATATATATATGTATATACATGTATACATATACTTACATACACACACACATGCACACACATACACATATAGGCACCCAGACAATCTACATCCAGTTTTCTAACAGTAAAATTGTTATAATGTACTCAGCTAGTAGGACCAATGCTGTTATGATAAGTTAACTCCAAATTTAATCTACTTTATAACAATAAGATAATATGCAGCCTCATTCTTTGACCTGCAGGCTGAAATCCAGCCTGGGAAGCCTGCTATAAATTTACATGGAGGTAAGAGACTTTGCTTCTATCTATCTCCTGTCACAGACATAATAGATGAAAAGTTTTCTCCCCAGTGCTCTTCAAAGGGCAAATTGTTTTGCCCTGCCGAGCCTGAAGGAAGTAAGAAAAGACATAAATAAAAGAAGTTTGAAAAAAAACCAACAACCAAACCTTTCCAAAAGTAATTTTTTTTTCTAAATTGTTGATCTTTAACTCAAGAAAAATTCAAAATCCAATCATACGTTTTAGGGGCCCTTGTGACTCCTTAGAGCCTGGTTTCCTTCTCTATCCTGTTACAATAAATAGTATATGGATTCCATTACTTCCAGGTCATTATGGGTTTGAATTTAAATCATGGGTTCTTTTCATGGTATTTCCTATCTTAGCCTATTCACCCCCAACCCAATTTGACAAATGGAAAGTTTTGAAATTAATTTAAGCCTAGGTATTTAATTATTTACCATGCTAACAGTTACAGATGAGTAGCAGCATTGGAACAATAAACCATTTAATTGGGATAAAAATAGTCAAAAAATCAAAAAAAATATGATCATATCCAACCTTCCACTTTCCACCAAAGTGGTCTGGGAAATTGGCTTCTTGAAAAGACTCATGACCTGGTTAGAAAAACAGTCTATGTCAGGTCCCTCTGCAGTCAGTCAGGGATAGGAAACTTCAGTGCAGATGGCCTTGGGCTTGATGTTTCAAAAGTGTTCCTGGCAGTAGCTCCTGCTGTCTGTTGATCACAGCTCTCCTGGCTGTCCATGGTCTGTAAGGTAGGTCCAGGCTTGGCTTAACTCAGATAATATTCCTTGCTTCCAGCTATAATCATCTCTGCCCTGCTAGCTCAGCTGGTCTCACCCTCCTCTGGGTCACAAACTACTGAAGATACTTTCATTATTAAGCCTCCATCTTCCTGGTGGTGCTGCTGGTTAGCAATTGGGCTTCTTTGTCAGTTTCACCTAGAGGATGAACAAAAGTGTGTCCTCAGTCCTCCTCAGTCACTGGTGGGACACACACACACACACACACACACACACACACACACACATGGAAACATACAAACTTTTTCACATGTGCCATTCCTATACAGTGAACTTCACTCTCTTATCTCTCTCTTTAAATCTCCTCTCCAGACCTCTCAAATGGGAAGGGAAAGGAAGGAGAATTGCATATAGCAGCATGCTCTGAGAGCTGTTATATACACTAAGGGTAGCAGTGGGTAGAGCAACAGGCCTGGAGTCAGGAAGACCTCAGTTTAAATCTGGCCTCAGATATACTTCCTAGCTGTATGACCCTGGGCAAATCACTTAACCTTGTTTGCCTCAGTTTTCTCATCCATAAAATGAGATGGAGAACGAAATGGCAAACCACTCCAGCAAGAAAACCACAAATGGAGTCACTGAGATTCAGACATGTCTGAACAACATCAAAAGAAACCATGACAGCTGAGCTGCAGGGTGGGTGAGCTGGGCCTGTGGTTTGCAACAGCCTTTGACTCATTCTGAGGCTTCTTGCAGGGAACAGAGTAAAACACAGCCTAGCTCATTGAATTGCTTCTGATAGGGCTGGTTGGCCACAGAGAAAGGTAGTAATTCACATTTGTACAGCTTTTGAAGGTTTACAAAGCACTTCCTCCATCCTCTTCAATCCTGCGAGGTCGGTAGAACAAACACTATTACCCTTTTTCATATGAGGAATTTGAGGCACAGGAAGAGTTAAGTATCTTGCTGAGTATCACACAGTAAGTTTCAAATCTAGGTCTTCTCCAATTTCTATCTAGTTCTCAAAGTTCTTTTTGTTATACCAAAGAAAGAGGCAGGTAAAATCATTTCATAATGGTGTTTCTAGATGGCGTTTCATGTGTACTTGGATTGTACAACTTTTAGTTGTGTATGTCTTGGAGAAATCTTTTGTGGTAGGTTATGCTATGAGCTGTGAGTTGCTAGCTTTCTGAGGTCTTAAGCATAGAAAACTCTAAAAGGTTAGGTGGTGTTGACTGTCACAAGGTCAGTGACAGCTACATCCTTGATAACACTCCCTGAGCCTTTGCCTGTGTTCTTGAGTATCTGTGTTTTAGTTGATGAGGCCCTTTCAGTTAGAGGTCATGGCTTTCTGGAATATCCTTCATGAGTCCATAATCCCAACTCCCTTAAAAAAAAAGGTGGTGGGCAGGTTCTACTGAACTTAGACACTTCTCTAATTCCCTTCCTCTGCAAAAGGCCAGATCAGAGCCCTAGTTAGTAGACTTTGTCTTGGGAAATTATAGACTATGAAATTTCCCACCCCTTACCTTGACCACAAAGAAAATGTTATCTCTAGCCACTTAGATATTTATGCATTAACATTTTGGTGGTATTGCCTTTTTTCTCTTCCCCTCCTTGCCTTCCCCAACCCTCACTGATTTTCTACCCTAGGTGAGGGACAAGAGCACCATTCTCCCACAATGAATTACAGCAGTACAGGCTATCAATATTCATGAGATGCTACATACACTTCTGTACTGTGTAGGGTATCATATATCTTCTGATAGCATCTATAGAGGGGTATTAGCCTTGTTAAGCCTCCCTAAGCACAAATCAGTTGAATCAATTAACAAGAATTCATTAAGCACCTGTTTTGTGTCACTATACTAGACACTAAGGATTCAAAAGTAAAATAGTCCTTCCCCTCAAGGAGCATACATTCTATTAGGGAAAAAATGTATATACATACAAAATAAAAAATTAAACAGTCTCTGTTCTTGCCCCTCACAAGTTGGATGCAATAGGCCTTTTTAATTTTGTTTTCATTTTAAAAAGCAGATCTCTTTATGAAAGGATACACTAACTAGGTCCTCACGTTCCGAGTTCAATACTCTTCTACTGCCCTGTTAGGAGAAGTAGGGGAAAAGAAACTGTTTTCAATATTGAAGTTATAGAAAGAATGATCCCTTCAGTCTAACTCCTTACATGAATATAGGCTTCATGGTTTATAAAGTACTTTTATGTACAAGGTATCCCAAAAGTCATGGTGCAGTTTTACGCTTTAACAACTTGTATGTCTTTTTGTTTGTTTTTCACAGCAATCCTGTGAGGTAAAGTGACAGGGCCTATGAAATTATGAAATGATATAATGCAGTATAGCAGGCCTGTACAACGTACAGCCCACAGGCCGCATGTTAAAGAAAGTAAAGGTATAACATGTGCTTTGTCCATGCCCTGCTTAATCCACCTTCCACTAGTCACTATTGTGCCCATCACGTAATGGGTGGGTTGCAACTGTGCACTCCTATTTTTATTTTTAGGCAATTGGGGTTAAGTGACTTGCCCAGGGTCCCACAGCTAGTAAGTGTCAAGTGTTTGGTCTGAGGCTGTATTTGAACTCAGGTTCTCCTGACTTCAGGACCAGTGCTCTATCCACTGTGCAACCTAGCTGTCCCAACAACTGTGCACACTTTCCTCTTTGTCATGAGACCCATGGCAACCAACCATCGTCAGTCTGTTTCTAGTCTGAGAGGAGTGAGATACGTATCTTTTCACTAGTGTTTTTGGTCATTGTTGATGTCCACTATGCAACGAGTAGCAACAATGTAAGGGCTTCTTCCCCTCCCTTGCTGTCCAGCTGCCCTCCAAGTTACATGAGTGTCTGGAGCTCTCTCTAAGGTCAGACACTCAGTTCAGTGTTTCTTTGTATGAGAGCAGCTGCTGTGGAGATTTTTTGGTTTTAACATTAAATCTTTTGTAAAATGGGTGATAAAAAGAAACGAAAGATTGAATCAGAATATACAGTGTTTAATCCAGAGTGGACAAATAGATATTTGTTTACTTACATGAAAGACAAAATATTGTGCCTTGTTTGCCGAGAAGTAATAGCCATTCTGAAGGAATTCAATCTTCATTGCCATTTCGAATCAAAACATCCTGACTTAAGCAAATTGGACACCAATGAAAACCAAATTAAAGTGTCCAAACTGTTGAAAAATCTCAGTGGGGAACAATGGTTTTTCAAGAAAGCATGCTCAGAAGATAAGGCAGCTACTAAGGTTAGTTTTCAGATTTCCAAAGAAATCAATTTCAAACATGATTCCGGAATATGATAAACTGATTGCTGACAAGAAGTGTAATATGTCCCATTAACTAAATATAAACAGTAGAAAAAAAAAGCTTGAAAAATGTATTAAAACTTGTACCACTTAGCAAAGTATTTTTAAGAATAATGTGACTTCATGATAAATAAAAATCTTAAGCAATAAGTGTAATTAATTGATATTACTTGAAATTTCCCTTTTTAAAAATATAGTTCATTTTCAAAGTAGTTTAATCATTAATTATACCTTTACTTGGGAAGTGAGCTGCTAGAAACCTATCTGCAGTCAGAAGAAAGTTAGCCTATTTTAATTTTAGCCCTTACCTACTGCCAAGTTGTGTAGGTATGTAGTATAGTGATGTATCCCCTGTAGGGATATAGTAGGAAATAGTAGCTCTTATCTTAACTCTCACATCAATACATTGTGTCTTATAGAGCAAGGTTACATCTCCCCCTAAAGTTTCTAGGGCTATTCCTGAGGCACTGCAGGATTCTCCTCTAATGCTATTGTCTAAATCTCTGATTGAAGTGAATTTTTCTCAACATCATCGTCTGATGCCAATTAATATCTTGTCTGCATCATTCACTTTTGACAGGCTCTACAGTATCATTTAATCAGTTAATATCAGTTAGCTTTTATTAAAGGAATTTTTGTGGAGAAGATATAGAAAAAACAGAAGTACAAAATATTCCTTCCCCACCACTTGGGGCACACGCTCCCTTGTATCACTGCAGTCCTCAGAAAGAGTGAGTTCAAACTTAATGTTAATGACTGCTAGTAACATTTAACCCTACCAAATTTGCTTCCAGTACATAGCCAAAGGATAAAATTACTCCCTTGATTATAGCACCCAACATTTTGTCCTGGGGCCAGTCCACTGACTGGGCTAAGTCCTGGTTGCTACTTTGACCTGTGCTGACTTAGCACAGTACATGCCCCATAACAGTGGCTCAATAAATGTTTATTGATTGATTATAACAAACTGGGCTCAGCTATTTGCAAACCCTGGCATGGATACGAGCTCCCAGACCTTTGATGGCTCACTCTCCTGACCTCTAGAAACTCACAAGATTAGCAGCCTCATCCATTCCATCCCCAATATTTCTTCACTTATGGCAGAAAATAGTCACACCGTGGAGAGAAGCAGATGTACTAAGTGCTCATAGTTTCGTGTTGTCCTAGGCGATGAGACAGACAGTTGATAGGAGGAAGCCACAGCTGGCCCTTCTACTACCTCTCTCAGCAACAACAGAGCTTGCACTCTGAGCTTCATGGATGAGAGCAGATTGGTGGCCTTTACTGTATGTGGGGGCCCACAGCTTGTTTTCCTTGCCTATACCAGGGATGAAAAACCTTGAGTCGTTCTTTGATACACAGAGAAGAGAAGGGAAAGTCAAGTATGCAGTGCAGATGTAGGGGAAGGAAGGAAGACATGTCATCAACAAAGATGACAATCCTATCCTGATGGTATGAATTTGGATAGAAAACATGACCAAGTGTCCAAGCTAGACCATTGTTATGGAGCCGGCATATTGAATGTGCATAGTGCCATCTCAGTAAACAGCTTGATCTCCAGGGCACTGAAGAGGTACAGACAGAATCATTTCCAGGTTTTTAACATGATGAGCTTTGTGTGACCAACAGAAAGGGTACATGGAGATTCTAGCTGCCATTGTGTAGCCCACCCTGACATCAACAAAGTGAATAAAAATAGCCTGCTGAATTTATGTTTGAAAAATTCAGGGTATGGTATTATTACTGAAGCTTGTGTAATAAATAGAAACCTGGGGTTCCCTGGATATACTCCAAACTCACACCACAGGTCAGAATTCAAATGCTTTTGACCAAAGGCCTTTGTAAAGATTCTTGAATAAGTTTTAGTTAGTTCTGTAGGCTGATAAGCTTCCTACTTTCTGCATTTGTCAGGCTACGTTTGCTGGTGGTGGATGAAGTAGATATGGGTAGTTGAGTCTACAGGATGCCCAAGAATAGAGCTAAATTGCAGGCTCCAGTCTCAGTTGGATAGTTCTCATCCATCAACATAGGCAGGCATCCAGATTGCTTGGAGCAAGCGAGTGACTGTGTGGTTGGCCCCATCAACGCTTCCTGAACATTAAAGTTCTCATTGGAAGCACCTAGAATGTTTTTTGAGTGTGGCAACAGTTAGGGTATCTCATATCTCTCCTTTGCCAGCTCTGTAGTTAATAACAATCCTGACCCTCTGAGCAGGCAACCATCTGCTTGGTGAGATTTTGAGTAACACTGAGGCTTTTTTTTTTTTTTTTGCTCCCTGAATCTTCCTTATGTGTTCTCTCTGAAGTCTTAATTTCCACAATTAGAGATTCATTCCTTTGACTTCCATCTTCTTGTCCCAAGTTAAAATAAAAATTCATTTGGTAGTTTTATACCATTCTCTCATATACTTATCACAACTTACTTTGTTCTATAACTATTTATATTTGTATTATATGACCATACAAGACTTCAAGTTCCCATGACAACAAAGACTATGTCCTATCTTTATATTTCCTCCCAAATCCAGAACAAGTATTATGTATTTCATAGGCAGTGAAATTCCCTTTCTTGAAGGGAACTGAATTTAAAGTACATCTTAACATGAATGTTAATTAGATAATTCCCTAAGACTAAACTTTGGTAGTGGAAAAGACATCAGCATACTGGGTGCTAGGAGTAGAGAAGCCCACTGAAGAAGCAGAAATAACCAGAAGAGAAACTTTGTCTACTTCATCTCCTTGTGTTTAGCCTATCCCTGGCCAAGATTCATTCATTTTCGAGTTGTGCACTTAGGAAGCACAGAGCACTTAGGGAAGAAACAAAGTTTACATAACAAACAATTGCTGTTCTCGTAAAGCTTACAATCTAGTGGGGCATAAGACACAGACCCAGATAGCAACAGCACATAGTATTACATGGTCAGGGCATTCAAAAGGAGCAAAACAAAATGTTAAAGGAGATCAGAGTGAAATGATCATTAGGATCAGGGAGGCTTTTTGGAGAAAGTGGCAGAGATTCAAAATTCACAGTGGATTACTGATGGGAAATGGTGACATTCAGGTTATCAACCTGAGAAAATTAAACTTAAAAAGGTCGTAATGTCATCCAATGTCATCCATTAAGTCCCATGATTTCTCCTAACTAGGAGGGAAGGAGGACAGGTCTGGGACTTCTTCCTGTTGGAATCAGGAAGAAATGCTAAAACACTGAAAAGTTGATAGCTATTAGGGTTATCATTACTTGGATTTGGGTCCTACCTCACACTTACAAGCTGTGTGGCCCTGGACCAGTATTCATCTGGAAAATGAGCTGGTTGTACTAAATCTCCTCAAAGTGCTTTTCCAGCTCTATATCTATGATCCTCTGACTTATTCATTCATCTCTTATTCTCTGTTTTGTTTTACAGTTATTTGTGTGAATGCCTTATCTCCCCATACTTCTCTTAGTTCCTTATTTCCTTACAGGGTTAGCTGGGTAGCTCAGTGGATAGAGCACTAGACTCAAATCAGGAGGTTCTGAGTTCTCAAATCAGCCTCAAAAATTTATTAGCTGTGTGACCCTGGGCAAGTCACTTAGCTTCTGTTTGCCTTGATTTCCTCATCTATAAAATGAGGGCAATAATAGCAACCACCTCCTAGGATTTCCATGGGGATCAAAGAAGACAATAATTTTAAGTGCCTAACACATAATAAACATTGATATAAATGTTAACTCTTCTTCCTCCTCCTCCTCTTCTTCTTCTTCTTCTTCTTCTTCTTCTTCTTCTTCTTCTTCTTC